GCTCTAATATAAGAACGTTTAAAATCTTTTTCAGACTTTCAGAGCCGGGCTAAAAAATTGATGTACTTCCCTGTTCAGCACTCCCCCGACTTGTCTGCAGCTGTGCACAGTCAACCTGTTTCCACACTGGCTCTTGAGTTATGGTGCGCGGCTCTAATATCCTTTGCTTGAGGCAGATTAATAGAGGAAGTCCCTCATAAATTTACCAGCGAGAGACTAATTGCTTCCACAACTTGTACAGTTTCTAATTAGCATGAGTCTGTTTCTTTTGTAGCCCTATTTAAGCACTGCGTGGTTTACCTTGCTCTAATTTTAAGTGTTTGCAAGGGGTCTGTCTCTGTTTATTGCTGGACATGACATGTTCAACTTTAATGTAGGTGAATTAGGTCTTGGGAGTGCAGCATCAGCTGGGACCAGGTGCCATAAACATAGCGTGGATGCAAATGCCATTTAAAAGAAGTAGAAATGTTTTTCCTCTGTGAAGAACACGAGAACGCAAAACATAATCATCCATAAAATTGTGTGCGCTCTGTTTTAAAGACCGGTGCTTGATGGGATTTTGTGACTGGAATAAAACAGCTCAGCCGAAGAGCAAAGGTGATGAAACCACCTAGAGAGGTACAGAGGAGTTGAGCTTTTGTCTGGAAGAAAAGCCGTTTCTTGTGTGAGTTTGCCCTTTTGGGTGCCAGTGGGTTTGAGACCTGTGTTGCGAAACCACAGGTTAAATCAGTTGGATGAGCCTTTAAAGAATTTTATCTGGAAAGAAAGAAATAAGCAAAAATACATCTCAGGAAGCTGCATACTGCTGAGCTATTTTATGAGAATTTTACTAACATAATTAAAGATGGAGCAAGGCAGTAGCGAATTTGAGGTCATGGCCAAGACTAAATTAATAATTCAGGAGGTTCAAGTGATCAAATCTCCAAATTAAGAGCAGCTGATCTCAAAATGATGAGGCTGAAGTTGGGTGGAGTAGGGTGTAGGAGAACCTCAAGTTCTGACCAGTGATCATCGCAGGGCACGGAGCTGGCTGCTGCAGGGGGTGGGTATTGCAGCGACCCAGAGGACCTCAGCTTCTGTTGCAAGTAAATCACCCCAACCAGCAGTGCTTGTGTCTTGGCTTTGTGTAGGGCACAGCAGGAACACGTGTCCCCCTCCGACACGCTCTCCTTTGGTCCGTTTGCTGTATCGGGTGGTTGGGAAGGGAGCTGGAGCAAGAACCCAGTATCTCTGCTGACTTAATACAATTAAATCTGAGATGAAGGTGTCTTTTGAACAATGCCGCTTCTAAAGTAGCGACTAGTTTTGAGCGTGCTTCCAGAAAACGATCAGAAAAGCTGTTTCCCCAAAGACTCGTGCTCCTGCCTGCTCACACTAGTGAGTTAGAGCTTTGCAGACTGATGTGCGGTGGGAAACTTCTCTCCGTGCTCTGCCCAAGGGATGCTCGTAGCGCTCGTCACGTCAGCCCGCACGTGCTGGGTACTTCCCACCCCATGGACTAGCTTTTTTTTTTTTTTTTGGGTGCAGATACAACATGCCAGCACTGCGTGACCTTTATTTCTGCCAAGTCAGGGGAGAGCAGGAGCGATGGGGCTTTGGGGGTGCGTGAGCAATGGTGCTGGCCTTCTGGCTGGCAGACGACATTGGGTGGGAGATCTGCCATCAGTGCAGATCAATCGTATAAAAAAAAATCCCTCGGTTTCCTGTGGACGTTCGCTCTGGGGCAATTACTTAAGTTCTCAGCGTTTCACAAAGCAGAGCGGACTCTTTGTGGAGTGGTAGGATTCTAGAAATTCCTCAGTTGATCTGGTGGCTTTTGACCAAAACAACACAAGCTGCTTTTTAATGTCATCAGGTCAATTCTAGTCATCAGTAAACAATAAGAGTTTTTCTACAGCATCAGCTTAAGCCTGGATTTTCACCCTCCCTCTGCATGTGTGGGAGGCGCAAGCAGAGACGGACTTTTTTCCAAACAGTTCTCAGTATTTACTGAATTAATTTAAGCAAAAGATGGTACAACATGCCAGCACTGCGTGACCTTTATTTCTGCCAAGTCAGGGGAGAGCAGGAGCGATGGGGCTTTGGGGGTGCGTGAGCAATGGTGCTGGCCTTCTGGCTGGCAGACGACATTGGGTGGGAGATCTGCCATCAGTGCAGATCAATCGTATAAAAAAAAATCCCTCGATGTTTCCTGTGGACGTTCGCTCTGGGGCAATTACTTAAGTTCTCAGCGTTTCACAAAGCAGTACGGACTCTTTGTGGAGTGGTAGGATTCTAGAAATTCCTCAGTTGATCTGGTGGCTTTTGACCAAAACAACACAAGCTGCTTTTTAATGTCATCAGGTCAATTCTAGTCATCAGTAAACAATAAGAGTTTTTCTACAGCATCAGCTTAAGCCTGGATTTTCACCCTCCCTCTGCATGTGTGGGAGGCGCAAGCAGAGACGGACTTTTTTCCAAACAGTTCTCAGTATTTACTGAATTAATTTAAGCAAAAGATGGTAAGAGTGAGATGAGCTGGAGGGAGTTTTTATAAATGCCTTTTATATTTTGGGGTGTTTGCTCGTGTACTCAGCCCTGAAAAATAATCTGTGTGTTTACTGACTGTGTTTGCACTGGCTTTACTGTGCCAATGTTATTTTTGTATCTAGCTCATGGCCCTCGATATCCAGGGAGGATATTGAGCTGTTTGGACAAGTGCCCCCAATCTCTATTTATTTATTTTTGTTTTTTAACAAGGGTCTGGAGTGCTGAATGCCTGGAAGTCGCTGTAGCTGTCCTCTCCTGTAGGTGAGGTCTGGGGGGGAAAAGCAGGGAGGAGCATGCTCAATATCTTCGTTAAAATGCTACCACCCCCCCGACAGGCACTTGGTGAGCAGCCTGCAGACCTCCATGTGAGAACAGAGCTGCTGATACCAAGCCAGAGAATTAAAGAATAATCTTGGAAACTGGTGACTTATGTTTCTTTAGATGGAGGAGGTTGAGCAGAGTTCTCCACCTGGTTTCTAGAAGCACTTGGCCACGTGAGGCTTCGTGTTCATCCTTTCATGCCGGCATCGAGGGTCTTGGTGGAGGGAATTGCTGGAGGTAGCAGCAGAGCCAGCAGCAAACCAGCTCTCGTGGTCGCCTCTAACCAGTGAGCTCATTGCTGAGCAACTGGGGTACTTCTGCCTCCCAAAGAGTGAATGAAGAGCAAAGAGCAGCACCTTCCTCTAGCCTTGAAATTTTCTTATGGTTTTGTAAGTCTTGTCCTAACTGGAAGTCAGAGGAGCAGTGCTGCCGTGGAGAGGAGCAGCGAAGCAGGCTGGATTAGGAAGATGAGGTTTCAGCAGTGCCATGATGCTGTCCAGGGCAGCTGTCCTTCTTCCCCGACAGCTTCCCCCATGGCCCCGTGCAAATCTTTGTCTCCCTTTTTTCCAGGCTGTAAAAAGAGAGTCCCTCCCAGAGGTGTTGACTTGCTGGCTTCGTTAAGGATCGTTAGGTGCTTGGCTACTGCAGAAGAACAGCTTAGAGCAGAGCGGCAGAAGCAAAGCCCTGTTGTTTCTGGGGGAACTCTCTTTTTGCCCCCAGTGAAGATGCTTTCATCCCCGTGGAGTTGCTTCTGATTTAGCAAATGTGTCTTAGAGAAGGGAATGGGTGATGTGGCACCAGACCGTGCAAATTCACCATTTCTGCACCTTTAAAGCCCAATTCCATCCCTCTCGTTGGAACCTAAAAATTAGCACTTGTCTTCAGAAGATCTCAAGGTTCACAGGCATCTTCTGCTTTGTTCCGCTTTTGTGCCATTTAATTTTTTTTTTAGTGATTTTGCTCTTTGTGCTCTCAAGAATCATACACTTTGTGTATGCACAGAACAGGATGATTTGCACCCTTGCAGGTATTTTTTTTTCCCCCCGTTTTCTTTGGAAGGAAAGGCGTTTAAAAGAAATCTGCCACTTCTCTGGGCTCAAGCTGCCGTTACCTTGCCAGCATCTGCACCTGCACCTTTCTCCTAATAAGCCACGTCTCTGCCAGTGCTTGGTCTGGGCACCGCTGCCCGGTGGGACTCTGCCCAGCCCATCTGCACATGGATGCATAATACTTTACAAATGCCCGTTTCTTACAACAAAACTGGGAGTATCTTAATTTTTCTATAAAACGACCAGTAGTTGGGAAGAACCTTGAGATCTCAAGATCCAAACAATCACGTGAATAAAACTGTGTTACTCAAAATCTCCAATATACATATTCATAGAGCCTCAGGTTACGGTTGCCTGGGTCTCGTTGCGTGGGCACCATGGGGAAGACAGAAAATGGGTTTCAGCGTGCAGGGACTGTCTCTTCATCTTGACTGCCAAAATGCTCTTGGTCTGGGGCAGTTACAGCAATCGTCTGTAGCTAAAATAGACAGTTTTAATTCTCTCATAATTAAATTGAACAGCTGGAAGCAGGGAGAGCCAGCACTGTACAGCTGGGGGAGCTTCCCTGGGCACAGTTAGGGAGGAGGGCATGTAGGCCCTTGTAAAACCATCCTGGAACGAGATTTGTGTGGATACTAGAGGACAGCGGCAGAAATCGCAGCCTTGGCTTGGAAGGGGAGAGGTCCTTACCTCTGCAGCACGTAGGACAGATATCTCAAAGTGTCACGCTGACTTGTTGCATTGGTTGTTCGTGAGACTTTCTTCCAGGCATGTCACGTTTCAAAATGAAGTGACCTTCTCAAAGGTTCCTTGGTAGCTCAGGAGCACGAGCATCCTCCATTGGAATGCTTTTAAAGCTACTTTCCAGGATAAAGACTAACCTGTGTTTTACTGCTGGGGAAGCCTGGGCACACAGTAGTTTGGTGATGTGTCACTGAGGGAGACACCAATTTTTTTTTATGCCATCTCCAAATCTGTTACCTTTCCATAAGATACAGGGTGAAGGGGGACAAAACAGACCGTTTTCAGGGTTTGCTGTGGCTGATGTGCCAGCTTGTGAAGGGTTAAGCTGACAGTGACGGTTTCCATGTTTCTTCTCAGGGCGTGACGTACTGCGGTGAAAGCTCGGCCAGCAACCTCACCATGGCCAACGTCCCCTGGCACGAGGAGGTGGTGCGCTTCGTCCAGGAGCTGGCCGACCTCATCCCCGACTACGAAATTGCGTGCGAGCACGAACACTCGAACTGTCTCCTGATAGCTCACAAGAAGGTGAGGCTGTGCCAGGGTGTGAGACCAGGCACCGTATCTTCTCCTTGGAAGTGTTGCACAATTGCCTTGTTCCAACATGTTTTCTCTCTAGAGTTAGCTGGATATTTTTTTTGGGGGGGGAAAGCGTAGCATGTATTAGAGCGCTGTGGAATAGTTACTGAAGCTGCTGCAGGTCGCAGCTGCTCGTGACAACACACAGCGCTACCGTGGCAATCCAGGCAAGAAGCATTTAACAGCTCGAGGAGGAGTTCAGTGCAGTATCTCCTGTGCTCTGTCACACTCGCTTTGCATTTTGCGAAGAGCAAGAACAAATCTTGTTTAGGTGGGTCAGCTGGCTTTGTCTTGTTTCTATATTTTCATGATGGTTTTCAGTGGTATAGACAGCTTGCTAAGGAAGCTACGCCAGAATAGGCTAGGGTTGTGTTTTTCCTCTTCTGGACCTTTGTGATACCTACCAGAACCGTAGACCTCCTTCCTTTCAACCAGAGTTAAGATAATGTATTTTTCTTCCTTTGGAGAAATAATTTTGGCAAGAGACATTGATATGTGGCTGTTAACAGAGGATGCTTTCCTTTGAACTGGAGCTGCCCTTCTGCAAAACTGTTTTGCAGGATAAATGAAGCAGTTAGAACAATTATACGCGTTCTGCATCCTAATGGTGGAGAAGAGGTAGCGGTGCTGCCTTCTGACACTGCTCCAGCATCCCTTTACGCTACTGGCGTGCTTCGCAGGCCAAGCATGTCTCAGCAGCCTGTGTGTGTGTGTAAAGCGTATTGTTTGAAACTTGGGTTCCTTCGTAAATACCATCGACACAATCTGAAATACAAATGAAATGCCAAAAAAAAAAATTAACTTTAAAGGATGCAGGATATGAAAAATATCAAGTACAATTTGGCTTTCTGAGCTTCAGAAAAGCTTAATAGGAAGATAATAAAAATGTATAATAATGTGCTAGCTAGGCAACTGATGGAGCAGCTACTTATTATGCTAATTGTGATGATTTTGCTCTCTGCATATTCTTCGCTTGTGTTTGCTGAAGTCACGAGCGCTCTCGTGTCCCTCGCTTAAACGGGAGCTGGTTTTAGTGAGTGGTGGTGCAGGGCTTTCCATGCGAGGTGATTCACAGCACGCACAGGGAATAACTGGTTAACATCACCACTTGCAAAAGATCTGAAATATTTCAAATCCATGTTTGAAAATTGTTAGAATCTCATCGTTGAAAACTTCTGCACAGTTCCAAAACCGTTGCTTGCTTTTGCAATTTGCGGTTTTATGGGAGCAGCTGTAAAGGAGCAGAGAAAAACGGGATACCTGGCACTATTTTTGTTTTAACTCACCTTAAAGTTGCTTTATTTACAGTCTCGGTCTTGGTGGTTGCCACTGGCAACTGTGCCTGAGCAAATCCCTAAATGCAAAATATTCTTTTCCGTTCTAAGGTGAAGGGCCCAGGGAAAGAAAGGAAACAGATTGCCACCTAACTTATCGATGCATAATTTAAGTAACACCGTTAGTAACAAGAATAGATTGATACCGGCCCAGGAGGAATTCAACAGCTGCTTTGCTTTCCAAAGCCATTAGGAAAGGGCGTCTTTTGGAAACAATCTATACTCGGTACTAAAATAACTAATAAAAAATAAATTTATTTCTATTACATTTAATTCTGAATTTCAGGCTCCAGTGGAGAATAAAATTTGTCAGTGTATATTATTTGCAGAAAACCTGTACTCTGGGAACAATCAAACTGAGTGAGTAATTGCAAAATCAAAGGTTTCTTTAAAAAGTTAAGGAGTTGCAGGAAGACGGTAATAAAAATCATTAGGAAATGTGATTTATTTCAGTGTGTTCTTCTAGGTCTGAGTTTTGAGGTGTTCAAACAATGCTCATATTAATAATTTTAAACGCCAATATTGAAATGCCAGCCTGTACGAAAGAGTCTGGAAATGTCAGAGAAATAATGCATCTTCCTTGCAGCCTCTGCTCCTTGATTTATGGAGAAATTGATTTGCATTGATTGGCACCTGCTTACTTGCTGAATAATAATTTAGGACTTAGACTCTGAAGTCTCTTAAGGCTAGGGATTTAGGTAGAAAAAGGGATTTTAGGTAGAGGAAACTGTGGTTTGTACGTCTGGTGTTATTTTCTGGGGAAATCAAGAGGCGATACAGAGATAGGAGCTGTTGCATTTTTGGGGTACTTCAGTGTCTTAAAAATCTACCGTTAAGCTTCCAAGTCTCTTCCCACACACACATCCCCCTTTTTTTTTTCCCCTGCTGACCAGAAGTGGGTTCCTGGTGTCTGAGTGCCTTTCTGGTGCTTGCGAAAGCCTTCAGGACTCGGTCAGTCTCGGGAAGTGAGATGTGTCACACTTAACCTTGGAGAGCTTTGGATCTGGCACTCCTGCGCTACCCCAGGAGAGCTTGAAAAGTCTCATTAGCTGAAGCCCTACAGTAAAATGTTTGTTTTCCAGTTACCCTTCACAGAGCCCTAAAAAATAACACAGAACGCCTGCGCCCCACTCACCGTGACCTGAAAAACCATTAGTTACTGATATTTCCACTTCTTTTGGGCCAACTGGGTATCAGCTTCCTAAACCTGAAGGACAAGCGAGGACAGCCAGGGTTGAGTGCAGCCCTCCCTTGGCTTGATCTGGGCTCCCATGGGTGGGAGGGCTTCTCTTCCCTGTCTTTTCTGCATCCTCCTCCCAACTTTCCGCTCCCCCCTGCACGCTGGTTTCCATCTCTCCTTGAGAGGTGCCTGGTGTGTTTTGGCTCCATCCCATTTGATTCTTTTCTTTAGCAATAGTGCTAAATTCTTGAGTAATTACATTTGCTTTGTATCAAATCCTATAAACACCATGGTACAAAAAATCTAATTTATTACAGTGCTTTTGAACTAATTGGCTGAGATAGAGACAGCAGCAACTTTATAATTTAACAGTTAATTCAAGTAACCTTTTCCAGAGAGAGACCTTAGGTGGCTGCTTTTCCTGGGTTGTAACAATAAATGTATCCTCGAGACGACCGTAACAAGTGCCTAAGGAGGGGGAATGTGCTGCAGCTGCCTTGCAGCAAAGACTTCTTTGAATGAAAGTTAGCACTTGGTAATTTCTAGAATAAAACCCTCTGCCCTGCTTTGTTGAATTTGCTTTGCGCGTATGTTTACCACCCACTCCATTGTGTCGAAACGCTTGCCTGCCAATTATCTCCTATTGCGTTCATTTAAACATCTACCTCGCTTTTGCAAGCGGGTTGTCTTCCAGCCACGTTCTCCCTGTTGCTTTACAGCCGCGGGTTTCTTGTTAGTGCAATTTGTATTGTGTGCTGCTGCTCGGTCTGGTCCTTAGCAAGTCTGCTAGTACGTGTGAGCATCCCTGCCTCTTCCCTGTGATGCTGGGATTGATTTCCATGTCAATTAGCCGTGCATAGCACAGGGAATAGTCCTGAAATCCCATCGCTTTTTGCTCTTTTCGGAGGTCTCGGTTAACAGGGTGAAATGAATGGCTGGTGGGCTCAGAAAAGTGGCTGCCATCATCCTTTTTTGCCTTAATAAATAGATACGCCTGACTTCCACAAGCAGATCCCAGTCCATACCCTGGATCCAGATGTTCCCTCGTGGTGCGGATGCAGTCCTGTGCCCCGGACCTCCCTTGTCCCTCACCAGCTGGATTATTTCCCTGGTGGATGTGGTCTGGGTTAGCGTTGAGTTCTCCAGTGTGGCAGGGTGAGCCTGGCATCCACAAAATGACTCAAGGCGGATGCTTTTAGGAAGGTCCCTGTAATCATTTCATTTCTCATAACCAAAATGCAGTGCCGAGGGTACACAGGGTACCTCCAAGGCAGGTGTCACAGGCAGTTTGAACTGAAATGAGTTGGGGGGGGATAGCAGCCTGGACAAAGGTGCTCATCACTCTCCATCAACCAAGAAATCTTCCCAGCAAAGAGGGAATCGGCCTTTTCCTTCCCACTGGGTTTTCCAGCACCGCCCATGCCTGTACCGTGGGGGCTCTGGGTGGGACGTGAAGGCTTCACGTGCGTCCTGGCTGCACTTGCAGAAGGCTCAAGAGGCTGGGTGAAAGGCGTTGAAGTTGTTCCATGCTGAGCATTTCATCTATATTTAGGGAGGAAAAGGAAGCACTTAACTACCAGCTGCAGATCGACTAACAAGGGTTATATTAGAGAAAAATAGTCCATCACATTTTATTTCCTTCCTGCCTTGCAAATCATTTGGGGAGTATAAGCTGTCCTTGCGATCTAGCATCCCAGATCCAGAATTCGGATCACGTTCTCTGCCTGCTCGCCCATCAGTTACCCCGTACCCGTGACAGCATTACAGTGCAAGGGGAAAAACAAACTTGGGTTGCTGCTTCGTGTTAGAAGGTCACCAAATAGGTGCAATGTCCCTGTGTCTGCAGCAAACGCAGGGGATGGGGTTGCTCCCTAGCTGAGGACGAGGTGTCTCAGTAGCCAAAGAACAGCCTTAGTGCAGGTGTGAGTACGAAATGTTAGTTTCCTGAAGGTTTTTTTCCCTTTCCTTTGTCTCCTTCAAAATAGGAAGGTGGCTCTGCTGTGCTTGATCTGTTAGTTATTAAAAGAAGATCACAGTTGTGCTAAAGTAATCCATTTTTCATCCATTGGAATTAAAACTGTCTGGATGTAGCCCTGGTTTAATTGGCAGACGAGATGTTCTGCTCTGCAGCGGGTAGGGATTAAAAAAAAAAATCTGCAATAACGAATATTTTCTTTAGAATAACTCAGGCAAGATTAGATGTAATAAATAGAAGCTAACAAGTTGCAGAGGAACGGTCCCACGGGCGTAGGGCCATACGGCGCTGGCGAGGGACGGTGTCCGCCCAGCAGTGCACGGGTCGGGTCAGCGTTGGTTTGGTGTCGCCTTTTTATTTCACTCTCTTGGGAAACATAATAGCGAATCCCATTTCCAGGCGTTCTCGTTGCCAGCTTTGGAAGGTGTTTCGTCTGCTTTAACGTGTCTGATTGCTAATG